AGATATCAGATAAAGCCCAAAAGTAGTCGCTTTTAATTTTCTCAAAATCTGTTCAGATTTGGATATAGCACCCATATGTATCTTCATTCGATTTCGAGTTAATTGTGCAACAAATCGCCAATATAAACCGAAATGGCATGAATTTTGGCATATCTGGCCAAATTCAGCCTAGAAGCAAGGACACCAATTTTAGTAAAAGTCGTTTCAGATATAGCTATAGCTCCCAAATATATCTTCATCCGATTTCGGATTAAATGTGCAGCAAATGGCTAATATTGGTACATCAAATTTAGTGAAAATCGGTCGGATACAGCTATAGCTCCTATATATACCTTTCATCCGATTTGTACTTTAAGTCCCTCAAATTCGAAAAATGTACGATACAAGAATAATATTTGGCATCAGATGCAGCCAAGAAATATCTTCTTTTTCAGTTTTACAAATATCGGTTCAGATTTGGATATATATATATCTTCATCCAATTTCGTGTTGATTGCGCACCAAATGTCCAATATCAGCCCAAATGTCCTGGGTTTTGGCAAATCTGACCGAATTCAGCCTAGAATCAAATACATCAAACTTGGTGAAAATCGGTTCAGATATAGCTATAGTTCGTAAAATGCACGATAGAATTAGATAGATTTTGATTTTGTACCAAATATCTCATAGAGCTCTGAAATGCTCTGTATAAACCTTTTTACGAGAGCTCTACTAAATATGCATAGTGGTGTAGGGTATCATATAGTCGGCCCCGCCCGACTTTTGAGCTTTCCTTACTGGTTTGTACTTGTTTTTTTTTTCCACTTAGACTACACATATATTAAATTCCTGTTTTTTTATGCCTTCAATCTGAAATGAGATTGAAATAATATATATCACAGATTCCCGGATTTATTATTTATCATTACCTTAAGAATTCGGTCCAGAAATGGGTCCTTAATTTGCGTGATTTTGCTTTTTACCAAAGAAAACTATTTTTTGCTGACAATTTTCACAAAAAATCAAAACTAACAAAGGACAGATTTGAGAAAAGTTTGTGGAACATAAGTGTTTCTCAAGCATTGTTGAAAAATTATATTTTTATAATATTATTCTCAAGATGTATTGTATTCTTGGTATGTTGGATATGGAAAGACCCACCAACACTTTTTGTCTTTGTGTGTGTTTTTTTTTTAACTGCAAAGTTTTCAGATTTTGAATTTTCAAGAAAGCATTTATATTTTTTCATTCAGTGGAAACAAAAATTTTCAGTGTGGAACCAAAAATTGTATATCAAAAAACTCTCTTGTGTTTTAAGGTCCTTTCCTCACATTTGTACAATAAAACTTAATTGTACAATTCCATTTCAAAAAAACGACAAAGATAAATTGTGCCTCCGTGTAAAGGATGGCTTTGGTGAAGCCGTTGTACAAACTTAGCGAATGTGTTTTCAATTTTTTTTTTATATTGTTTAATTTATTGAATCTTTCATATATTTAATGAAAATAACAATAAGGTTTCATATCTTATATACTAATATTTTTATAGGGAGGTTGTCAATACAATCACCCCATATTTTTTTCATGCTTTAATTATTATTGTTTTTTTTTATGATATATAGATGTGTGTTATTTTGTGGGCTTGTGGATACAGTTATATCCATGAATTGATTGAGTAGGTAGTTAAGATTAGTTTGGATACAGATATATCTAAGTGAATCGCGGACTACAGAAATAGTCTTACGGATATAATGTTGCTTTGTTTAGATACAGTTATATCTAATCATCCCGCGGACTACAGTAATAGTCTTATCGATTTCTTCACTAATCTTCCCGCGGACTACAGTAATAGTCTTTTCGATTTCTTCACAGAAGCAGCTTCCAATTTAGCATACTACTACCTGTAGTAGTATAACAGTGGGCGACGTTCAATTGGCCAGACAAGAGCTGAAAATAATGAGAGCGTAAGACAAAAAAAAAAAAAAAATAAACTATATGATAGAAAGAGTGTCACGTCTGCGCAGTCTATCGTGTCCTCCGAATAGTAGGAGTTGGCGGGCCAAGTTATTTGGGTGCTCGGATAGTTTGTTTAAGTACTTGCGGCAAAGCTTCTTTATTTCTTCTTCAACAGTAAGTATATTTAGGTCCTTGTGGATGTTTGACTGTCTTCTTTGTAGTTTACTTACGTTAGAGGCACTAGCTGTGCCCCAGAGCTGTATGCCATACGTCCAAATTGGCTTTATTATAGTCTTATATAATAGGACTTTATATTCTAATTTAATAGAAGAACGTATACCAATTAACCACTCAAGATTGGCCTTTATTAGTTTAATTTGTGTGATTTTTGCATCGATGTGTTGCTTCCATGTAAGTCTTCGGTCCAGGTGCATTCCGAGATATTTTACGGTATCTTTCTGTGGAACTTGAGTATTAAAGATTTTTATCGTGGGGCAAAGTTCACGTCTTAGAGCAAAAGTAACATGTATGCACTTGCTTGCATTTACCGATATTCTCCATTTTGTCAGCCAATTTTCGAGAAGATATACATGGTATTGTAGTTTTTCCGACGCAATCAGAGGATCCTTGTGTATGCTAATGAAAGCAGTATCATCAGCAAACGTTGAGGTTAGAGTTTCATTGGTTGTAGGCATATCGGCAGTAAATAACACGTACAGAATTGGTCCTAAGATACTACCCTGTGGGACGCCAGCCAATATTTTTCTCGAATTTGAAAGTATGTCTTTCGATTTAACAACAAACGTACGATTTGACAAATAACTACAAAAAAGTTTATGAGTGTTTTTAGGTAGAGTTTCACAAATTTTGTATAGAATTCCAAGATGCCAGACTCTGTCAAACGCTTGGGAAATGTCTATAAATAGCGCCGAGCAGTACTCCTTCCTTTCGAATGCCATTCTAATGTTTGTGACTATGCGGTGCACTTGCTCAATAGTACTGTGGTTCTTACGGAAGCCGAATTGGTGGTCGGGGATAATATTGCTATTTGTAATATGGGGAGTTAACTTCCTTAGTAATGTTGTTTCGAACAGCTTTGAGAGTATAGATAGAAGACTGATGGGTCTATACGATTTTACCTGCGTTGGATCTTTTCCAGGTTTCGGAATCATTACTATTTCAGATTCATTCCATACAGACGGGAAGTACCCTACTCGAAGAATGCTGTTAAATATAAATAACAATAGTTTAACGGCCGGTGTTGGTAATTTCTTGAGCATGTTTGGAGTAATTCTATCTTTACCCGGGGATTTTTTTAGTTTTATCGAGGCTATAGAACTTTCGATTTCTTTTAGAGAAAATCGTATTGGATTCGGAACAATGTCGTCAATTAAAGGTTGAACAACTGTCGAAGGTCCGGGATTTGGGGTAAATACAGATTCAAGATGTTCGGCAAATGCGTTTACCTTTTCTTCTGTAGATCTTGCCCAAGTCCCATTTTCTAGGCGTATTGGAGATTCGTGGGCGATAGGTCTTCTCAAGTTTTTTGTGGCTTTCCATAAGCTGTAGTCAGTTCTCTCTGTGGGATCCAGGTTATTTAGGAATATTTTTAGGTTTCGCTCTTCATTTAATCTGAGTGCTTGTTGTAAGAGTTTTTCACATTCTTTTAGTTTTTTCCGAAACCTAGGTGATCGGTGCTTCTGCCATTCTCTTCTGGCCTTCCTTTTATCAGACACGAGTTTTCGAATGGTCGATGGATTATAGGAATTATTTTCTAGTTTTGAAAATTTAGTGGGAGTGGCAACATTGACAGCAGTGTTGACTATCGAAGTAAATATTTTAACTGCATTGTCAATTTCTTCTCCGGACTTTAGAGGAGTGTTAGAATTCACATGTGTACTGACATATTTTTTGTATTGCGAGTTGAACATCATTTAATGTTATTATAGTTGGGGAATGGTCTGACGACAAGTCAAACGAGGGTACCACGGACATTTGTTCCCTCTTAATATTCTTTGTTACCGCAAAGTCAATTAAGTCAGGACGTTTTTGCAGGTCTGAAGGCCAGTAAGTAGGCTGGCCAGTAGATAACACGTCCAGTTTAGCGGACGAAATGGAGTTTAAAAGCTGTCTACCTCTGGGTGTAATAAGTCTAGATCCCCAGAAGGTGTGTTTGGCATTATAATCTCCAGCTGCAATGAATCTACTACCAAGTGATGAGAAAAAGTGTGCGAATTCATCTTTGCTTATACTATGTCTCGGAGGACAATATATTGCAGATATAGCTGTATTCGTTGAAGATAGTGCAACTGTTGTAGCTTGTAGGTGGTCAAACTTATATTCTGGCATGGGGTAATGCTGAATTTTATTAGAAATTATCACCGCGGTGCCACCGCAAGCTCTCCCACTAGGGTGTTTAGTGTCGTATGTACTGTAACCGTTTATTCTAAAACAGTTTCTAGAAGTGAAATGAGTTTCAGATACCAGTAAAATGTGTATGTTGAGTGAGTGAATAAAGTTTTCGACCTCGTGTTTATGTTGGCATAAGCCGTTTGCGTTCCAAAAACAGATTCGAATTTTATCTATTTTTGTTTTAAAACTATTTGCATAATCATAGATTGATTTCTCACAATATCTTGCATCATGCTTTGCATACTTGTCATAAAAGAATTCATGGTGACGATTAGTTTTTCGATAGATGATTCTATATTTGAATTTTTATAGTTGGGTGAGTCATTTCTCAAAGTATCAGAATATAAGTATTGCATATTCTGTGAGGGGAGATTGTAATTAGGAGCGGTGGTTTCATTCCTCTTGTTTAGCTCAGGGAACTCAGCTGTTTTGATATTAAATTGTGGATTTTCCCGTACCCGGTAGCTTGTAGGCTTTTTTGTGGCTAAGCTAGATTTTGTTAAGATTTTATAGGTATATACTATTACAATATAATTATATTCAATATTCTATATCAATATTTATGACAAATAGTATTATAAAAAATATATAAATCAATTCTATTAATAGATTAATAGACTATTTATCTAATAGACATCTTATCTCTCTTTTCAGACCCTACTCCTCGCCACTAATTATCACTGGCTTCCGTTTGGAGTCTTCCAAACATGAAGTCGAATATGATGATGGTATACCCAGTGTTATGAGTGAATCAGTTTTTACTATAAGAATTTTTGGCTTGGGCATTACTGAAAATACTGTGATAGCTTTTACAACTGAAGTCAAGGATGCCGGTACTTATTGCCAGTTTCCGGCAACATTATTGCACAAAGTTATTAATGGCACCGTCACGGGCAATACGGCACTCTATGAGGCATCCTTACCGAAGGGCAAAAAGGATTTTTACATATGTGCTAAGAATGATGTCAATGCTTTTCGAGATGAGGACGTAGAAAATCCAATACCCCTTCTTCATCAATGCAAAGATTCGTGGTGTATTGTACGCAGCCATGAAAGTTTATTGCCGCTTTGGGTTTCCATAGTTATTATTTTGATATGCTTATGTTTCTCGGCTCTATTTTCGGGCTTAAATTTAGGTCTTATGGCTTTGGATCGAACCGAGTTAAAGGTAAACTCTATTTTATCCGATTTCCATGTTATCGTTGACTAATTTTCTTTATAAAACATGTAGATTTTACGCAATACTGGCTCGGACAAGGAGCGTGAATATGCGAAGAAAATCCAACCAGTTAGAGATCAAGGTAATTACCTGTTGTGCAGTATCTTGTTGGGTAATGTGTTGGTTAACTCGACATTTACCATTCTCTTGGATGGTTTAACTTCCGGCCTAATTGCTGTCGTTTTCTCTACCCTTGCCATCGTCATTTTTGGTGAAATTACACCACAGGTTAATTGACATTATTTAGCTGTTCTCTTCAGCAGAATTGTATATTGAATTAAAATATATATTATTTTCAAAATTTAGGCCATATGCTCAAGACATGGTTTGGCTGTTGGTGCAAAAACGATTTTAATTACTAAATTCATTATGCTGGTCACTTTTCCGTTGTCCTATCCCACATCGAAAATATTGGACGTGTTATTAGGCGAAGAAATTGGAAATGTCTATAACCGTGAACGCCTTAAGGAATTGGTTAAGGTAAGTAAAACCTTTGAATTTAATCCGCAATGCGATAATGCAGCTGTGAAATGGATATCAATAACATACCAATTTTCTGCTAATTTTATAAATTTGATGCTTTTGTACACGATAAAATGTTGTTTTTCTTGTTCATAGCTTAACATTTTCTGAAATGATATTATTCGTAAGGTTCCACTTACCCAATAAATACATAGTAGCTATAAATAACAGTTTTGTCCATTGTCGCTTTATACCTCCCAAAAAGACTACACATATGATGTGTAGAATTCAAAAATAAAAAAAACACTACAAATGTATTACGTATTCAAAAATTCAAAAATAACGCGAATCAAAAATTGTGTCAAAATAAAAGAAAAAATGCAAAAACTGGTGGTGGTCGGTTCATATGCAATGTTACTTTCTGCAAAAAAAAAAACGCTTTAAAACTTCTACAGTGTTACTAATCATGTATTTTGTTTTGATTCCTCATTCACCCCATAATGTTACCATATTGAATATATAATGTTGCCATATTAACACTGAATTCTTAGCTCACCAAATCGTACGAAATCTGAAGAAGCTAAAACAAAGTCGAACGATTTTGAATTAAAAATGTATGTATCAATTTGAGACGTTTTATTGATAGTCTTTTTTTAAAAGTTGAAAATGAATTATTGTCTAGTTTTAGCTTTAAAATCATTCATGAATTAAGACTCAATAGCATCAAATGAAAAGAGTTCAGACCAAAGGGCAAAAATGCTCAATGCAGGGTATTTTTCCGAGCTTATTTTCCGGAACACTTTGAATATTTTGATTTTAATTTCATTATAGACTTGGTATATACTCAAGCATAAAATATGTTTAATTCCAACATGTTCTTAAATCTTGTTTTAACGTTTAGCTCCGAGTATTAAAATATCTTATACTATCTTCAACTTCAAATTCATTGATTAAGCAAACTAAATCTATACAATATAAAATCGTTTTATGTTTAAACTAAGGTACAAACTGAATTAAGACTAATCTGATGACGATGATTTGGATGCAAAATCCAAATATAATAAAAATAGCTCAGTTACATATTATTGTATAATAGTTTTGCTTAAAAATATGTTAGAAAACTGCATAAAAACATTGACTTTAATATTTAGCAAAATCTAATCCGCATTCGACTGTGTTAACATAATAATATAATTGTTTCTTAAATTCGTTAAACTTAAGGTGCAGGTACATACAAAGCTTGAGCTAGGCATATTAATGTCAAATTATAATGGAAACGACGTCAGGATTTTAGTGCGGCTCTGTAATCCCTTTATGAAATGTCACAAAATATGCATAGCCATGACTTCAAGCTTCTTATGTACTTACCCCCTTAATTTGCCGCCGAGCCGAACTTTGAATACCCTCCACCATTTGGAACGAAATAGGAAATTTTCAAAAAAATAAAATCCATTAAAAAATCTGTTAAAATCTTAAAAATACCGATCATCAAAAGATACCGATATATGCGGGATATACGATTCTATTTCAGGGGGTAAAGTACTCACAAAGAACTTCTTGTGTAGAATTTCAGACAATTCCATTGAAAAATGTAGCTAAAATCATCAAAATACCGAACATCGGGGAGTACTGTGATATGGGGGCTATACGATATAGTGGACCTATTGAAAAAATCCTCTGTTAGGGGCTAAATTACTCACAAGGAACTCCTTGTGTGGAATTTCATACAATTCCATTGAAAATGTGGCTAACATCATCAAAATACCGAATATCGGGGGGTACCGTTATATGGGAGCTACACGATATCGTGGACCGATATGGCCCATCTTCAAACTTGACCTGCCTTTAGGCAAAAGGCAGATCTGTGCAAAATTTTAGCTTCCTATCTTTATTCGTTTTGACTGTAGCATGATTACAACAGGTGGACGGACGGACAGGGCTAAATCGTCTTAAAATTGTACGCAGATCAGGAATATATATACTTTGTTGCCTCTTAAATTATTATTTCAATGAGTTACAAACGGAATGACGAACTTAATATACCCTCCATACTATGTATGGTGGAGGGTATAATAACAAATTTAAATGTGTATTTGTAATTAAAACCACAATTTTTAATACATAAAAGTCTTTTAATGTTATAAGTTATCATTATTAGCTTCGTTTTCTGAAGAATCTAAATACGGAATTATTACAGTCTGTTTTTGTAAAAAAAAATGTTATTCTTAAGTTTTTGTTGTGCTGCTTGTGGCAACCCCAAGAAAATATTTCAAGAATATGGACCTGCTAGATGCGCCAGCAAAATGTTGATGTGTTAAAACAGTTCATATGTTAGTTTCCCATCATACGCATACAATTTTGGCATAATTCTGTACCAAACTGCCAATTTCCGTTCAGTACGATAGGTCTCTTTTTACAGATTTTTTCTCACGTTCTCTCTTGTATTTGTTTGTAACAAAATCCCAGCGTTCGAATATAAAAAGTACACAAAGATAGTGTACTAAAATCACTAAAAAATCGTAGTGTACCAGAGTCGGAGCAATAAAAAAAAGTGTACCGCATGCACCATGTTAATCATCAATGCATCAATGTGCCTTATGAGATTTGGAAAAAATATGATGTTGGTAAAATAGCATTGATAATGAATAAAATGATTATAGTGAAAGAAATTAAGGATTGTAAATTTAATATTTACATGTAAACAACAGTATCTAATTGAGCACCCTTTCCGACTTTGCTAAATTATACAAAATTCGATATGAGAATCACTGTTTGTATAAGTGGAAATTAAAGAAGAAATAAAACAACGCACTTAATTAAACATACTTAATACTCATTTATTTATAAGTATTCAATTTTTATTACATAAATGTATTTTTAATATAAAAATTTAATTAATTAAACAAGTAAAATATAATAAACATAATCTAAATAGAAAATAATAAATAAGGAAAAGGTTATAAATTAAAAATATAACTACACCAGTAAGAACTTTAATCTGATCCCAACTGGTAATTAAAAATTCCATTTGCTTTTACACAATTTTGTATTTTTATTGTGCGTTTTTCTTCGATGTAGTTTGCATATTGCTCAGGATCACATCCTCTTTAAACATCTTCCTTCATATATTTCCGGAATGTACGCTTAAAATCTTGTAATTACAAATCTGCAAATTAACGTTTGATTCATTGAACTGAACGTTTAATAAGAATTGAAAGACAGGACATTGGCATTTTTACATATATTGTAATAAATATTGTTCTTAAAAATAATAAGACTACCTGTTCTTCGGTGCGAAATTGTGACAAACTATATTCTAGATATCAGCACATATCTGGATGTATAAGCTGTGGTTTGGTTTTATTTACACCGAAATCATGAAACTGATTCGAAACTCTCATCCATATTTTGTAAAATATTCAATTTTTACAGCTACGTTCATTGATTTTTTGGTACCACAAAAGAGCAGGAAATTTTTCTGCATAACAACCCATTACAACGCAACAACTAAAATAATCTTTTTCGCGGAAAATTAAAAATTTCAAATGGTTAATATAATAATTTGTGTTATTATCACTTCTATTTGGTTTTTCCACTATCTTCAATTTCGCAATCAATCTAAACCAGCGGTGCTCAAAACCGTGTTCTAGAACATGAAGAGAAAAAAGAGATAATTTAAGAGAAAATTAAAATTGTGTTTTTCTTTATATTTTACGTTTCTATTTAATTGTTTTTAAACACGAATGTTTACCAAAATAACTCATAAAACAAAAAAAATATTTGTATAAATAATGACTTAACACTGTTTTGTTCTTGATTTAAATAAGCAAAGAGAAATTTGACTGAAAAGAGATATTTCTTCTTGAGCATCGCTGATCTAAACATACATGACAAATAATATAAATCCAGCTTTTATTTTCACAATATTGAATTGTATTAGTAATTTTTGCATTATCAAAAACATCAAACATTTAATTTGTCTCACAAATCGTAAACAACACATACGTGGCAGACTACTGGTACATATTTTTTGAATGTTCCGTTATGTAGGGCTCCGACTGCGGACACTACGTTTTTAGTGCTCCGACTGCGGTACAATACGACTCTCGTTGTGCTCCGGTACAGTATCACTAAACGGTACAGTACCACACTGTTTATTTTCGAACGCTGCAAAAACCCAAAAAAAATGTGAAGTAATAGCTAGACATAAAAAGCATTTGCTTCAAAAAACGCAAATATTTTTTTCAGTCGACAATTTTGGAATGATTGGTATAAATATACTTACAAAAAAGGCTATTTAAATCACTTCGTACGGAATTCGTTATGAAATATTTATTTAATACATATTAGTTCAATATAATTTAAATTAAATATGTTTTGAATTTTACCTTCATTTCTACATGAAATTAATCTACTCTTTCAGGTCACTACTGGCATTAATGATTTGGACAAAAATGAAGTTAATATTATTTCTGGTGCACTAGAGTTGCGTAAGAAAACTGTAGCCGATGTAATGACACACATCGATGATGCTTTTATGTTGCCCTTGGATGCTACATTGGACTTTGAAACTGTCTCAGAAATTATGAAATCTGGATTCTCTCGCATACCAGTTTACGATGGCGACCGCAAAAATATTATCACCCTATTGTACATAAAAGATTTAGCCTTCGTTGATCCGGATGATAATACTCCATTAAAGACGTTGTGTGAATTCTATCAGAATCCTGTTCATTTTGTATTTGAAGATTATACACTAGACGTTATGTTTAATCAGTTCAAAGATGGTACAATCGGGCATTTAGCCTTCGTGCATCGTGTTAACAATGAAGGCGATGGTGATCCATTCTATGAGACAATTGGTTTGGTAACTTTGGAAGATGTTATCGAAGAATTAATTCAGGCAGAAATTGTGGACGAAACAGATGTCTTTGTTGATAATCGTACTAAAGTAAAGCGTAATCGCAATAAAAAACAAGATTTCACAGTTTTTGCCGAACGACGAGAAAACCAAACAATACGCATATCGCCACAATTGACTCTGGCAACATACCAATTCTTAAGTACTTGTAAGTTGAGTGTGACATAAATTTATAAATTAAGTTGTTCAATGCTATATTTTTTTCATATTTAGCTATTGACGCTTTTAAAAAAGAACTAATATCTGAACAAATATTAAGACGTCTTCTAAATCAAGACATAGTTCACAGTATTAAATGCAAGGGCAAGGAAAAAGATGATCCTTCCCTTTTCATCTTCCAACAAAACAAAGCGGTTGACTTCTTTGTACTTATATTGGAAGGTCGTGTTGAGGTCACTGTTGGCAAAGAGTCTTTACTTTTTGAAAGTGGCCCGTTCACCTACTTTGGTACTCAAGCATTAGTATCTAATGTTGTTGTAGGTACGTTGAACTTTATGTCCATATATTCTTATATCCATATTATATTGTTGTTGTTTTCAATTTTAATTTGTAGATTCTCCCTCTCAAATGGGATCATTGCAGTCGTTGACACTAGATTCCAAAGTTCGTCAGACATTTGTCCCTGATTATTCAGTTCGTGCCGTTACAGATGTCATTTATATTGCCATCAAACGAAACTTATATTTAACAGCTAAAAAAGCAACTCTACTGGAGAAGTCTCGAAAATCTGGTGCTGAGCCTAGTACAGCTGAATTTGATGATGAAGTGGAAAAGGTAAAATGTTTTCCTAAGTACGGTAATGGATTTATGAGGTCAAATTGATTCATATTTGAGTATTTCATAGCTCTCAAGTGTGGCATGTTGCCGCATATGGAACTTATACTATTTAAAACTTATTTTTTCTATATTGCCAATTCACACATTGATCTGAAATTAAGACAGTGCATTTTATTTTCTTACTTATTTCTATGTTTCTCCTATTTAAATTTTAGCTATTGCACTCCATACATGAAGACGATAGACCACATCATATACGCAGCAATCAAAGTATACGCAAAGGATCTACGGCAGTGGGTAGCAATACAGCTTCGCCATCTTTTAATGTAAGTTTGCCACGTAGTAAGTTTTAAAATGAAATGTTGTCGTTTCAATACGATTAATAGTCGTACCGAGTCGTACTTGTGTTAGGTATAGGAATGAATTAATTTTCGCACAAGGGTTTGCCAAGTAAATGAAAGTGAAAAGAAAGCTCAGCAAACTTTTAGAAGTATTGACCTTTTTTACTCCCACTTTTCATCTACCTGTGTTTCAAAAGTACCTTTTGGAATTTTAAAACTTGCGGAAATATCACTTTGCAATTGTGAATTTGTGATGTAAAACGATAACAAAAAAGTTGCAACAATATTTAACTAAACGAACAAGATTATCTACATTTTCTTTGTCTTTGTAAAAATATTAGAAGTATTTCAAACTTTTTTTTCTTGAATCATGTCAATGTTTGTAAAGCGGTTTACAACTATAAAAATGTACACATTCTCATTATTTAACCTATGGAATTGTCCAAATGGTCTTTCCGTGATCACTTCATTATCGATGGTAGAGTTCATATACTAGTTTGATGATTTATTTATTTTCTATTTTATTATTTTTACTAGCTGGCCCAGTCCGCGTTGCCGGCTCGTAGTTTTAGTCTTTAATGCATAGTTTTAAAAATATAACAATTCACAAATCTGGCGCACAATTTTTAGTATAAATGATGACTCGATTAAATATAAATAAATACGGCTTTCAAAAAACCTGATCCTATTTTCAGTAAGAGGTTTTAGTTTGTGAGTTAAAAGCCTAACTCACATGGGCCTGTTTATAATAGGCCCATGTAAGATGGTTCTCTACCTCCAAAGTAGCCTAAACACACATATTTAGTCAAATCGATTCGAAAATTTAATCAAAACCTCGAAATAGGTAAAATCAGGAGGTACTTTTATATGAGCGCTACTCCAAAACATTGACATTGAAAAATTTCCGCGAAGAGGTCTTCCAGAAGCTAGATGCCAAATAAGGGCAAAATCAATTGAAAAATGTTACCGAGGCCCTGGTATTAGCTAAAATCATCGGACATCTTCACATAAGAGTTACATTGAAGCATGGTCCTATACTTATAATTATTTGAACGAATTTGTTTTTTTTTTATAAAATCTCAAATTACCAACATGTGAGGAATTTTAAAGGGGCTATGTCATTTGAGGGGGGCTATATCACAATGTAGACAAACCTGATACATATTTTGTACAATTGATTCCTCATGTAACCCCTAGAACTGTATCAAATTTAAAACTTTATCGTAACTTTTGCGGAGTATGGGGCAAAATATTTGCGGCCCTTTGTGTATGGTTAAGCTATATAAAATGGACTCCGGGAACCCCTCTTTTGGGATTTTTATTTAGCAACCAAAAGATTGTCTGCAGCGCAATGTAATTACTGACGATAGCGCATAATGCCCGTATAACGTTACCTATGATTTAGGATTACTTTTAAGGGTTCGGAAGAATTTTCCGAGCATATGAATCCTTTTCATACTATATTTTCAATTCACTCCACTATTTTTTTGCACAATGAATTTTGCATTTTTAATTCTCATGGGATGGACTATTTCCATATCTAATCAAAATCGAACATTTGGGTATGGCAACCATATAACAGCATGTATAGAACATATGCAACTTGATCAATTTTTCGGTTTTTCAATAAATATTATCATAATAGAACAGTCAATTTTTTTAGTCTCGCGATTTTTCTCAACATTTTATTTCATGACAACGTTTTCACTGTAATTACAAATAACCAAAAGAAACCTTTGAGTCAAATTGTCCCAGCCGTTCTCAACTGATGTGTTACTATACTTTTTCAATTTTTTTACATATAAATTTAAAGAAGTAGGTGTAGCCAGATCCTCTGACCTCAAAAAGATACCTAGGGTTGGAAGGAGAATCAAGATTACGTCGTATACTAACTGTCCATCTTCATGATTTTGGCAAATATAAGGATTTTAGATAAATTGAAAAATCGGCGTAAAATTGGGGGTGGTCACTTTTTCTTTGCATAAAAACCTTAACCTTAATGTTCGTCCCGGTCTCAACTGAATCAATTACCAACGAAAAACAATTGGTTTATATATAGATTAAAAAGTAGGCGTGGTTAGTTCCTCAGCTCCCCAAATAAATACTTAGGATTGGAGGGAAAGTCTACAGTATGTCGTGTAATAATTTTAAAACCGATATCTTCATTATTTGGCAAATATAAGGATTTTAGATAAATCGAAATAGTGAGCGTAAAAGTGGTCAATATTTTTTTCTTTAAAAACCTAACTCAGGATATGACGAACGTTTGTACAAAAAAAAATCATGCAAATCGGTTCAGCCGTTCGCAACTGATTCCATTTCCAACGTAAAACAATTGATTTTTATATATATAGATCACAATTCCTGACGTACTGCTTTATTTGCGACATAATCTTGGGACAGCAATAAACAGATCTTATACGGTTAAGCGTTTTGTCTGTGCCATCGTGCTGCATATTTTTGTAGTTGTACGCCTTCTCTATTATGTCATGTAGTATCCACAACTTCCACTTGAATTCTATTACATCTGCATGGAAATGTTTGTTCTGTATGTACATTTTGTTGTCTTTCACTTTCAAATATGGCAACTTCTTTTTGTTTCTGAGGATTGTATCCTGTAGTTCTATTCGAAATTCAGTAATTCATTATCTAAATCGATTCCATCCATTATCATGCCAGAGACAAAAGCCAAGCGGGATAGATTGTCCGCTACGACGTTCTCGGATCCCTTGCGGTGTTCAATAAAGAAATCATACGCTTGTAGTTGTATGGACCACCGTGTAAGCTTTTCATTAAGATCCTTAAGTGTCATTAGCCACTTCAGACTTGCTTAATCGGTCATAATCGTAAACTTCATAAGTTGTACACACGCCCGGAATTGCTAAGTATGGAGTAATTCCTTTAACACGAATTCAGTTTCTGCTAATGAAATGCGATCGGATTTTCTTCGCCTTCATCATTTTGCAATGCAATATATTGTATAAAAAATGTTCGAGGCAAGTCTGGGAGTCGGTGTCGGAGAGTCGGCCGAGAATAGTTTTGAACCCACTTCCTTCAACAATTCAAAGTGTTATTTGAAGTCGTTAGTGATTATTAGAAGATATCATACCTACAATGTATTTGAGCCGCATTACATAAGTGTGTAGCGTTCGAACTGTAAATGCAGTATATGATTTAGCTTTTTCTTCTAAGTTCTATCTGCCAGACGACTTATTTCAGGTTGACGCTACTTATGTAATGGTTCTGATCTGAGAATTATTTCTAAGTAAATCTGAATTAAATCTATTCTTGTCAGGTTCACGGTTGCTCCATGCAAAATCACTTTCTTTGCAAAATCGCTTTCAATTCAATTGCCCACAATTTCTTCAACGGCTGGCGACAAGGGATTATGGTTATCTTCAACTTAACATTCTACCAATTTAACCGTATGCTTTTCTAATTTTCTTTCTTAACTTCTAATGGCAAATAATGTTGGATATTTCCAAAATTATTTTCCTTATTGGTTTGGGATCTTGAATTGCGGGTTTCCCTGAGGATTGATGGTTCCCCGCTACAACCGTGTTCGACCTTCAGTTTCCCGTCCTACAATTAGAGCATCTTAGGATGATGGTGATTTGCTTGTCACATTTAAAACAAAACATTTTTTTGACCCAACAATTGGGGTGGTAATTGCGGAAACTTATACACTTTATTCACATCGTCAAAGGTTCGAATATTTTCTAGTTCTTCTTCTTAAATTTCATTTACTCAAATGGGTTTATTGAAATTTGATGCTGAGTCCCGACGGAAAAATGTTTTCTCAACCTTTTGGCATCCCACTCGTAGCTATTCTAACGATGAAATTGACATCTAATAAACTATACTCTAAAGATTTTTTCTTAAATTATTTTTTTCCAGGGAGATCATCTCAAATTTTGATACTGGTTTTCCCACCTTAACCGCTTCAAATTAATGTGATGGGAAAGTTCATATATTGTTTCATTTAGCAATTGTTTGTGTTCCAGCAAAACTCTCATTTCTTCAACTCACATGCTTTGTCCACCAGAAAATTCAAAAAGACGGTGTAATCGCTTTCCTTCGACTACGTCTCGATATAGTTTTCAGATGTTGAGCTATTGTTGTCCGAAGGTATTGATGGTGTCTGACAATCTCATTCTGTGATGATACTATGGATTGGAGGGAAAGTCTACAGTATGTCGTGTAATAATTTTAAAACCGATATCTTCATTATTTGGCAAATATAAGGATTTTAGATAAATCGAAATAGTGAGCGTAAAAGTGGTCAATATTTTTTTCTTTAAAAACCTAACTCAGGATATGACGAACGTTTGTACAAAAAAAAATCATGCAAATCGGTTCAGCCGTTCGCAACTGATTCCATTTCCAACGTAAAACAATTGATTTTTATATATATAGATCACAATTCCTGACGTACTGCTTTATTTGCGACATAATCTTGGGACAGCAATAAACAGATCTTATACGGTTAAGCGTTTTGTCTGTGCCATCGTGCTGCATATTTTTGTAGTTGTACGCCTTCTCTATTATGTCATGTAGTATCCACAACTTCCACTTGAATTCTATTACATCTGCATGGAAATGTTTGTTCTGTATGTACATTTTGTTGTCTTTCACTTTCAAATATGGCAACTTCTTTTTGTTTCTGAGGATTGTATCCTGTAGTTCTATTCGAAATTCAGTAATTCATTATCTAAATCGATTCCATCCATTATCATGCCAGAGACAAAAGCCAAGCGGGATAGATTGTCCGCTACGACGTTCTCGGATCCCTTGCGGTGTTCAATAAAGAAATCATACGCTTGTAGTTGTATGGACCACCGTGTAAGCTTTTCATTAAGATCCTTAAGTGTCATTAGCCACTTCAGACTTGCTTAATCGGTCATAATCGTAAACTTCATAAGTTGTACACACGCCCGGAATTGCTAAGTATGGAGTAATTCCTTTAACACGAATTCAGTTTCTGC